ACCACTATAAAATTAGAGACTAGCCCTCGAGTAGCTCAAGTCTACCACTACAGACGGTTAGCGCAGATAGCCCTCGAGTAACTATACACGAAAATTCTGAAACAAGTGAACAAAATGAACTGAAGAAATGCTGATTTAACCATGTTAAAAGTACAAATTATAAATACAACCGAGAAGATAATTTTTTAGATACACCTGATAAGGTTATTACTAACCTGTCTAGTTTTATCTTAACGGTATAAAGAGAAGGGGTTCAGGATACAGGAAGAAGGAGAAATGTGCGTTGAATAACTTAAAACCTAACAAACATATATAGTCATTATTAAACCAGATGAAGGTATCGGTGCTGTGATTGTCGATAGAAGAAATTATATTGTAAATGCTAAATAGATCATCAATGACACTTACTAAGTTCTCTGCATTGACCAAAGATCCTACAACCACAAAATAATATTAATTAGATAATTGTTAAATTTGAAAAACCTTAGTGTTGTCGTGCGGTCAAAACAATCTTCAGGACACACTTTAACAGGGGTGATAGTTTAGCAATTTTTCACTTTCTATAGCTCGGACTGTGGTAATCCAAACTAATAAATATTATCGGTGGATGTGCTCTATTAGACCATTACTTCACATACAAAATTTGAAGGCAATCCATTAAGAAATACACGAGATATAAAATATCCAATATTGATTGCATTTGTTTTCCTTTATATTTCCTCGCACCGAAGGTACGAAAACTTTATTTGATAGAAAAAATGAATAGCTGTAAATGAACTGTTTTATAAAAAGTTTTGTCAAGTCTAATAATGAGAAAATGGTAAAACAACTTTCCGCTTCTTCCCAAAACTGTCAGTGTTTATTAATTTCATTTTCATGTTAAGCTCAATGAAAGAGCAGATGCTCAAAATGTCGCTAGATAAAATAAGTTTGTTTTTATTTAAATGTTATGTTTTTAGAATGTTTTTTTTAGAAGATTGTATAAATGAACAGAACCCAGGTTTAAAGACAAGTTAAGTATTATTATACATATCTTTTATTCAACGAAAACTGGAGTTTATTTCAGACTAACCTATTAATGTAAATAAAATAACGACCTATATCTCCAGATGTATTTTTATTTGCTCAAAACTTTGCTGTTACGGCTTTGTGAGGAGCTATCGATAATCTACAAGTTCGGAAATCTGTTCCAACTAAATTGAAACATGGTCATAAGTTAATAGAACATTATACATGTGCCTAAGAAGTTTAGATCTTCTTTAAATAATATCAGCATCGAACATTGTAATAGTTGAAGGCCTTTTCTAAGCTGACGAAACATAATTATAACTAGTCATACTAATCATAACACATTAATATCAGTATTAGGATTATCATATTTTTAACACTACATTCTTTATTCAATACTTTGAATGAATACGGCGGACAGAGTGTGATTGAATGAATATGGCGGACAGAGTGTGATTGAAGTGCTATTATTCACTCTTTTTCTAGAAAAAAAACAACACTGAGGACCTGAATAAAAAAATCATTTTCAAAAATATAATACGGTTTGGTTTATTTTGAATTTTCGCGCAAAGCTACTCGAGGGCTATCAGCGCTAGATGTCCCTAATTTAGCACTGATAGACTAGAGGGAAGGCAGCTAGTCAACATCATCCGCCGCCAACTCTTGAGCTACCTTTTTTATCAACGAATAATAGGATTGACCGTCACAATTTATCGCCCCCACGGCTGAAAGGGGTGAGCATGTTTGGTGACAGGAATTCGAACCCGCGACCCGCAGATTGCGAGTCAAGCGCTTTATTCACCAAGCCATGCCAGGCCTATAATGGATTTAACACTAATATCTTTTGATAAGTGTTATTAATTATAATCATCCTTCGCTGTCGTAGAAAAGGCGTTCTCGCCATAACAATTATTATTGTAACAAATGGCTTATGTAAATCATGTTTTAACCATTACCGTATTTTTTTGAATCCTATTTGCCTTGATAAACCTTGTATTAAGCGAAACGCGACGTGAACAATGGATCTGGTGATTAAGGTAATATTATTCCACATTTTCTTGAAAAAAACAATAAGGAATTGGATAAACATTGTAGTGTTAAAATATAACAGGCCTAATACTAATTTTCTAATGAAAAGTATAATTAATATCAAATATTACTGAATTTCAATTGTATAAAAAACTGAGCCAACATTGATAAATAAACAATATACGAAAATCAACAGGTGAACTACTGAAACTCATTCTTGGGGGGCGGTGATTTATAAAGCCCTGTTGATTATTGCTGTCGTATAAAGTAACTTCGTTCTTGGTGAGTTACTGTTTAGTGTTTTTCGTGTTTTCCCTTTTGTACACTTACTTTATTTCGATTTGTCTCGATTTTAGTACTATGTATTCGATTTATTTTCACTTATTTTGTGTGTTTAGGTGCATTTTGGATTCTCCGCTATTGTGGAGAGCCAGGGAAGTATCGAGACAACA